AAAAAAAAAAAAAAAAAAAAAAAAAAAAAAACGTTGAAAAGAAAGAACATCTCCAGGTGGTTCATTTGCACATTCAATTTGAAAAGCACTGATATATAGGAGCATTTTAGAACGAAAGAGATTAAAATAATGTAAGGGAGAGGTAGGCCCATGAGCAGGGTAACCATAGCTTTGACTCTTATTGGTAGTGACCATTTCTCTCTAACTGCCTCTTGTCATCTCGTGATAGGATACATCACCACTTCCCTAAGAAGACCTACCCTTGCTAAACATTAAAACCCCCATGGTAATAGGGATTCAGATGTAATATGATTAGCAAATTATTAAATTCTCAATGAGTTTTGAAGAAGGAGTCCCATATTTTATGTTTCACTGTACCCTGTTTAATTATATAGCCACTCCTGATAGCCAGCATCAGTTCTGACTAGTCTGCTCGGGCTGTACCATAAACACATCCATATCCCAGTTCATGACTATGATTTCTCTCCAAGAGGGGTTGGCCACCAGCATGACTTATCCTTCCCAGTTCTGTGTTGCAGAAGCTCTGTTCCTGGCAAGGGACGTTTGAGGCTCCCTCCCTCTACCTACCTCCCACTCCCAGGCACAGCAAGCTGAGATTACTGAAGATTCCAGTAATCTTCACCCCAGCTTCCATGTAAGGCAGAGGTCCTATGCTCAGAGGGACAAACCAAGAAGACAAGGGATATCCCTCCCCTTCCTGCCCCCAAGTCTGGAGTTTTGCATGCGAGGGGTCGTACTGCAAGAGTAAAGGTTCCTGCCCCCATCTCTGGAGCAGTAGCAAAGAGGTTCACATAGGGGGAGCGTCAGGCCATAAGAACAGGGAGCTCAGTAGCTCTCCCTAAAGTGGCCGACTTTATTTGGAACAGAGACTGGAAAAGTCTGTTTAAGGATAGAGCTACATAGGAGTAACATTTCTATCTCTCACTGTCATTCTGACCGGTTAAGATGTATACTGAAAGCTCTAGTGTAACCAGGAGAATAAATTTTAAAAATAGTGAACAATCATTAAAGTCACTGAAATACTACACTGAAAATACTCACTTACAAATGAAGGCAATAAAGAAAACATGAGTGGGGCGCCTGGGTGGCTCAGTCGGTTGAGCGACTGACTTCGGCTCAGGGCATGAGCTCGAGGTCCGTGAGTTCGAGCCCCGCGTCGGGCTCTGTGCTGACAGCTCGGAGCCTGGAGCCTGTTTCGGATTCCGTGTCTCCCTCTCTCTCTGCCCCTCCCCTGCTCATGCGCTGTCTCTCTCTGTCAAAAATAAATAAACATTAAAAAAAAATTTTAAAAAAAAGAAAAAGTGAGAAAATAACATGAGTCACAGGAAAAGCAAAAAGTAAAATGGCAGTGATAACAACTGTTGTAGCAACAAGGTTGTGAATTAATTAATCAAAAAGCAGACATTTTGAGACTGGGTTTTAAAAAAAAGATCCAACAAGGGGCGCCTGGGTGGCTCAGTCGGTTAAGCATCCGACTTC